ATATTAATATTAATATTTGTGACAAATCAAGCTCTTCTCTTTGCTAAATACATGCATAGGAATTTGCTCTATTGCTAAACTCTCTTCTGCGAACGTCAATCGTATCTCTTTCTAGATGATGTCCGTGGAAAAAGCATCACACGAATAGTTCGGCTCGGGGCGCTCAACAGAAAACAAAAACAAAAAGATCCGAAGGTGTTTGAGAGCTATGTTGCATCTATATAGGTACTCTATCATGGAGTGGTATAGCGAATTTATGATTATCTATTTGATTCTTCTTCTCCCACAAATATACAGCTTCAACATGAATTACAACCACATTTTGGCATTGATTCAAATCTGTAGACAGACGTAATACAAATCTCATACTGGCTTACTATACATTTCCTATACAGGATATACCCTCCATTTGTACATGACCTTTCGGGAAATATCAATATTTCCGAATGAATTAAAGCTCTTACTGAACGAGTACTATGCAGCCCGATAGAGCTCTCTTAGCTGGTTAAATATGTATGGCATTCATTGAAACAACTTGCTTTCAAGGTCGCTGGGTCGCGAGGTATAATGAGCCATATATATGTATATATATATGCTCGATGACAAATGTTGGCATTGTCCTGCCCGAGTTGGGCTTTAATTAAGTTTTGTCACGCCAAATTGGAGAACATGCAGCATTGACGACAAAGTTTCTCGCACTTTTCGCATTTGCATTCATACATACATATATTTATTTGTGTACATTCATCAAGAGAGAGAGAGAGAGAGAGAGAATGAGGGAGAGAGAGGGAGAAAAAGAACAATAATTATTGCCATGCTGAACAACAAGTTGAAGTAATTATTTTTATTTTGCAGTAAAATACAACTTAATTGTGCAACTTTTCGCATAAATAAAACAGCTAACAATGTGGTGTGATAAAGGTAAAAACCAAACAACAACAACAACAATAGCACAGTTATAAAAAGGTCATCAAAAGGCAACTTTGCTCTGGGCTGACAAAGACCAAAAAGACAAAAAATAAGTTCAGATCGTCGCGTCGCCTGCTGCGTCGACAAAAGCCTTTAAACTCCCATTCATTACAGTTTTAAAAATAAAACGAGACCTAAGAAAATAAATGTGCTTATTTCCAAAAATAATTTGCAAATGCCCAAAACACTTTTTGTTTATGTATAAAGGATATTTAAAAGGATATATTTCTGCACTGAAATAAACAAAGTGTGTCGAAGCTGCATAATTTATATGAATATTGTAGAAATTCGTCTAAAATTGTTGCATATATTCCATTTCATCTATGCATCCAAAATTGAACTTTAGAATTTTCCAATTGAATATCTTATATATGCGAGGCCATCCAATTAGGATCTTTGTCATATGTCAGGCACTTTATCAATCAGCTCATTCATGCCCGCTTAAGAGCAAAGCTCGAATTCCCAAGAAACCGATTAGATTTTAGGATATGCATATATACGTATTGTGAATTGTATTAGCAGCTTACTCACCTACACATACACACACGCATACATACACCCGCTTAGACACCTGTACGGGAAATTAGAAGGCCGAGTAGACACGGCAAGCATTAAGCAGCTAATACGCCGCGACAGCGCCAAATGATGCGTCACAGTGAATGCTTTTCAGCAGGCAAGCAAATGAACAAAGAAAGGATTGCACAAATACACAGGCTGTGTAATATAAATAAACTTAATAAATTTATTGTTAAGAGCTTAAGATCA